ACAAAATGGGTAGTGTATGTTCAGCAAATAGAAGAAGGTAATACTGCATTGGAGTAAAGAACAGGAGCAGAATAGGAGTAAAGGATAGAGCAGAATAGGAGTAAAGGATAGGAGCAGAATAGGAGTAAAGGATAGGAGCAGTTGCTAAGAAAGTAGATCTCAAGAGTTCTCATCACAAGGAGAAATTTTTTTCTTTTCTTTTTATTGTGTCTATCTGAGAGGATGGATGTTAACTAAACCTATTGTGGTAATTGTTTCACAACATATGAAAATCAAACCATCATGCAGTACACCTTACACTTATACAATGGTGTATGTCCATTGTTTCTTAATTAATAAAACTGGAACAAAAGAGTAGGAGCAATTTCTGAAGACCTTCAGAGGTTTCGTGAGAAAACATTATAATCAGTTTCGAGAATAGGAAAGATGAGTTTTGTGTTTGATATTGATGGAAAATGTTTTGACTGGTTCTCAGAAGCAGAATGTATTCAAAGTAGGTACACACTTATTCCTCGCTCTACGGAACAATTGGGGGATGATGTAGTACAGAGAGAGATAACCTTCCCAACATTGGATCTCGGACTAAAATTTAGAAAACCTCTTCTCTTCTTCTGGCCCAATTTTTTATTGCTTGCCGGGTTCCATTGCTGGCTTGCTTCTGTAGTGCTCAGGCCTGCATCCTTATGTGTGGTAGAGTTTGCTGTGCAGACAGGTAAGAATAAACGGGGCTAGATGAAGAGAAGGCAAAGGAATGAAGGGGGTCACGGGTCAGGGTACAAACTACAGAGGGTTTGTATGCTGGTCTTCCTATCGCCCACACCCCAGAAGCTCACACAATAATCAGCGGTCAGCTTGCATGTGATCAAAGTAATAAAGTAGTAGTAATCAGTTGCCAATTTACATTGTAATAAAGTAATGTGCAGGGACTGGAAAAGGAGGGCTGTGTCTCTGCTGATGGCGTTTATTAATTTTCTCAAACTCTACATTGGAAAAACCGTAATGCCTTTGGTGAATTTATGTTGTCAGAAGGCTGAGGAATCTTTTATTTTTGCAAATTTTGTAGCCGGAGTAAGTCCTGAGTATTTCTTTCCCCCCCCAAGATGTGGAAGAAGAAAGCCTCAATTGTTCTTTACAGGTTGCGTGGAAACCCTGAGATGGGCTGCCCAAGACTGGAGCTGGTGGAATTGTTCTATAATTAGTCAGGTGATACAGAACAAGCCCTAGCTTTTTGGACTAAAAATAGGATCACCGTAAAGGAAATAGACACCTAGAAATCTACAGCCTCAGCTTGTAAAGCCAGCTTTCCTATTTACACGTAAGAGATGTATGTTTCTGGGACAGATTCCATTGGGAATAAAGGGCCTGTTTGTTAGCATGTGTAAGAAGCACAAACCAGCATTGTGTGTACGATTCAGAGCTTGCCACTAGAAATGGATTCCCCTCTGAAGGACCATTCATAAAGGCCTATGGCAAGGTCTAGGAGTTGTGAAAGGAGAGAGAAAAGACTAGAGGTGCTGACAGACTTCTATGCATCCTAATAGGAAGAAGACAATGTCCCATTGATAGAAAGGGAGCTCAAAGAAATTGGGTCCAAAATTTAAGTGCTATAAAGAAGTAGGATATATCAAAGACCAGTGCACGTGTGTGTGCATATATATAATATATATATTTGTTTATTTAGTTTATACATATATGTTTATTTTATAGAAAGATTGAGATAAAAATTCAAATAATATGGTATTCTACAATACATATAAGATGTAATCATTTTCATTCTCATTTTTAATAGAGTGAAAATACTTCATATGATTTCTAATGAGAATTCAGGGGGAAAATTTGAGCATAAAACTACTTACATGGTATGTGCTGTCATATCACAGTTACAAAGATGCTAGGAAGTGGTGGAAAGTGTTACAAAAATGCTGCTCCTGAGATAACGTTAACACCTTCCGACGGAAAACTCTAAGACTGGGTCAATAAAAAAACACAATGAATGAATAAATTATCTGGGAATAGGAAGAAAAAGTTGCCCAATCCTTTGACATCCTCTATTATTCCACTTTGTCCAGACCAGGTTCACTGCTTCTCTGGACTTGGTAAATAAGATCCTAAGAGGTGTCCTTGCCTGTAGTCTCTTCCATCATCAGATGACCCTAATCACCATACCCTACTTCATTTCAATTTCATGCTCAAAAGAGCCCTGGGAGGAAGGCAGGACAGGGGTCATTACCCCATCTCCAAGCTTACAGAGGTTGGAGCCAGGGTCTCAAAAAGAATGTTCAAACCAAGGCCAGAACTCAAATTTTCTGACTTCTGTTTCAGTCTTCTTTGCCACACACTCTACTTCGTTACACTCCCACAAACATTCTGATTGTGCTATTGTTCTTATTAAAAATCTTCAGTGACTCCGTGCTTCATTTTGAGTCACATTAGCCCTCTGCAGCCTGCTCCATAAAACTGTCGACACAGAGGCTCAATCCATCTTTAACCCTATTTTCCCCTATGCCCTTCTCTCACTGAGTATCCCATCCCTTCCCCGGGCATCTCTTGTTTCTGTGCGGTTGTCTACATTCTTTCCCCAAACACTGCTTTCTCTTCCACACATCCTTCTCGTGTCCTCAAATAAGAGTCTTACCGCTCTGATTGCTTCCACTGCGTGTAGCCATTATTTCATCTTAGCACTCACCAGTCTCTCTAGAATTAGACGTATTCACATACATGTTTATACCTTCTTCCAGACTGAGTTCTTGGAGTCCAGATTCTGCTATTTATTTTCTTCGTATCATGTCCCCATGATACCGACCCTGGTACCAGTTTCCCCACATTAAACCCAGCATATATGGGGTTAAAACCAAAACACTCATTCCCTGCTTACTCTCTGGCTTCCTGCCTCCAGAATCCACTATCCTCCATGGAGACAGACACCGTCAAGGACAAGCACCTGGACCATCTCCTCCCCGCAAAGAGATACGAGCTGGTGGGAAAGCTGCTGACCAGCAAGGTCATGAGCTCCCTCCTCTCTGCAAGTGTCACAAGGCCAAAGACAGGCGGGTGGGAAAGCTCCGAGCAGCAAGGCCATATGCTCCCCCTCCCCTAATCTAAAGCCCCAAATAAAAACCCTTCCTTTTAGCTTTTCGGGGAGATTGGGATTTGAGCGTTAGCTGCCCTCTCTCCTTGCTCAGCGCTGTGCAAAAATAAAGTTCTTACTTTCTTCCACCACACCCGGTGTCAGAGATTGGCTTGCTGCGCAACGGGTGAGCGAACTCACTTCGGTTCAGTAACACCCATAGTTCCTATAAATTGTGCCTTGTAGATAGATGCTCACTTAATATTTCTTGAAATCTGACATTCGTTGAACTGTTGTCATGTATTATTTTAGCTCATCATTTGTGCCTGCCTTTTCTACTCAACTAATTTACAAACTCTGTGAATACTGTTCTTCGACTTTGTAACAGCTTAAAAGTATTATGATCCAAATTTGGGTGATAGAGTGGGAACTGATACATGCAAGGATGACTTTTTTAAAACAAACGTGTGTACCAAAACTTGTGTTTGTGGCTTATATAATCACAAATATTATGTTTCTCCTACCACTGCAGGGTAGGTAACACAGAGAAGCATTTGTTTTACTTATCTTAATTATGGAAATTCCAGCAGATAATAAATATTTTAAGCAGAGAGGTAACAGATATTTTACTTGACAATAATTTAGGATTTAGCCAAGATTCTTGTATTGTTTGGAAAATAGCATCTGGAATTTACTAAGGATATGAGATGCTTCATGCTCCCAGACAAAGTGTAGAATATTGTGACTTTTAGAGGGAAAATTCACTAAAGTTTGCGCATAATCACTGACACACTTTGAGGAATTATGTGTCTTAGGCACTTTCATGAGAGCTTCACATGTGTTATTTAATTCTCACACCGACTTAAGAAGCAGGCTTAATTATTTGCCCCATTGTTTGACAGATAAGGAAACAGAAACGCGGTGTTTACGTAAGTTGCTCAAAGTCACACGGTCACTACATGGCAGAGCTGGGATCTGAGTCCAGCCAGCCTGACTCTGGGCGCTGCACACTTATCCACTGGGTGATATACAGGAGAGAAGGTTGTTTTCTTTCTGCATTTGTGGGCAAGGCCAGCCAACCACAAACATCATCGCTGCCCCAGGTCAGCAACCCCGAGTGGTGCCAGGCAGCAAGGAGGCCATTTGGTATGCCTAGCAGAGCTCTCTCCTCCTCACACACTGTTTTCAGGGACTGGTCTATTCAAAGCATTGCTAGGAAGCCACTCAGTTCCTAGAGAGCATAGGAATTGAATAGGAGAATGATTCAGTCTTCAGGTGAAGTCCCAAGTTGACTAGAGTTGATTCAGTTTAACGAGGTGTCAAGATGTAAACCAGGATATTAATCACACTTTGCCCCTCCAGCCATGACTCCTGCCCCTTCATGGGAGCTGGAACCCAAGTGCTCAGGGAAGAGTGCTCTGTGTTCCCAAGAGCTGCTCCTCAGGACTGCTTCCGTTGCTCTTCCCATTGCCACCAGTGCCTTGCTTCTGTCCCCAGTCTGCAATCCTTTCTGCTCTGTTCATCCTCAAGCCATGTGCAAGCTAGAGGTAACATAGTGCCCAGAAAATACAGGCTTAAGCTGAAATTATATGGCTTCCATTTTAAATCCAATCAACCAATGTTGAATAATTGCAACTGGTGTCATTTTGTTGTTGTTGTTGTTAATTTTTAAAGTTAATCTTGGTTACACATATGGCTATATAATGTAAAAATATGTATGACTTAAAAAAAGTACATGGTGTGTATATAGTATAGATAGCTTGTATAATGATGTATATATAGATGATTGATACAAAGGCTGGATAATAGATATCAGATAGATAGATTTTCTTAATTGATTAATCAAGTCTAATACACCAAGGTTAGAATCCCAGCTCTGCCATTTACAGCTCACTATTAACTTTTTAAAGAACTTCAAGCTCTAAAAGAAAGATAATATAATAATATTATATTATTTCATCTGTAATTTAGAATTTCTTCTTTTCTGGCTATTGAGTTCCCTGGCTCTTAGAAAATTTGGTTTGAGGAAATCCAGGATCTCTGACCTTAAAATAAAAATCCTGTCCTCCTAGGAAGAGGCCCAGATGTCAACAGAAGAGAGAACCATTCAGCAGCAATCCCCTCATGCCTTCTGTGACAAATTTCCTAAGTTGATCTGGAATCTATATGACAGATTGTTGGTGCCAAAGGCCAACAAACTTCATCTATGTGAAGTATGGACCTTTGGAAAAACAAGAAAATCCAATTAGAGAAGAAAACCCAGAATGAGGAAGGCAAAAGGTTTTGGTTTGTTGTTTTTATTTTGCCAACTCAACTAGAATGCAAGAATCAGAAAGTTTATATCTAGAAAGGGAAATAAAAATACATACAGATCAGTCTCAAAGCTTTGCCTTTCATTTATTGGTCTCCATGCCCAATTATATGCCTCCCTTTCAAATCAATGTATTCATTTTTATTTTTTTTTAGCCCATGGAAACCTAATACAAAATGGCAGGAACATAATTCTAATTTATTTCCATTTCAGATTTTTATACCTGTAATTATGTTTGTGTTAAATTAGATGAAAATGTCAATCCACCAATTTGCTTCTTCCTTTGTAACCTTTTGCATACAAAGTTTATCATTCTGACAAATAAAAGGCCCCTTCAACCTTGACACCTAAGAAGAAATGCAAATTGTATTTTTCCAAATTAGAAAACAACTATCAATCATGTCATTTAAAAATTAGGTGAGGTAGCCAATGAAGTTTGAATTCTCTAGCTGTTTGGAGTTTGTAGGATTAAAATAAGACAAGTTAATATTAAAAGAGCAAAATTAGCGTGTGTAGATATTATAATTGTTAATTCATGTAACCCAAATATCAATTGAGGGCCTGAATAGACTGCAGATTCCCTTTTAGGAAAAGCATTTTGAATCTTTTGCTTGGTTTCTAAAGTGTGCATACAAGTCCTAAAATACAGAATTCTAGTTCAATTTCAATGAAATAGAAGCAAGCATTTTCCAAGATACCTTACCCTAGCTTTGTCCCTTCCCAGAAACTATCCCATTTCTTATTTATATGTAACATTTCATTTCACAAATTGGTACATCAACCTTGGCCTTTCAAATATGAGAACCTGTTTTCCTGGCTGTTAGCTGTCTAAGAGCATGTCTTTCCAAGTGTCAAGCCAAGCTAAGCAAGTCCCAGAGGAGAGGAGCTCGTTCCTCCTCTCCTCTCCGGTACTTTTCGTGGCTCCCTTTCCATCAGAGGCCTTTCCTTTGCTCTCCCTCCTCTTGTACTCCAAGATTACCACTGTCCCTGAATTTCCTGCAGGCATATATTATGATTCCTATTTTACAGGTCCTAATCTAAAATACAGAGAGCTTAAATGACTGAGCCAGATTATAATGGAGAGGCAGAGGGAGAGGTGAGACTAGCAGGTCCGTATTCACACTGACCTCAGGGTCTTGAGTTTTTCATTTCTCAAAGGCAGGACTTGTGTTTGTTTCTGCGGCTTTGTACAGTTCCTATGAAGCACGTCTACCCAGAGGTTTTTCTTTAATGATGATGCTATGCCTTGGTGTGAGTGATGTTGACAGCTGCCTCCATGGTGAATTTTATAGGACCCCCCTCATCTGTCAACCTAACTCCCTTCCTGTCCCAACACAGTGTGTTTGGATTAAGTTTTGTCTTCAGCATGTTATGTTCAAATGCAAATAAGTTTCCCTGGAAGGATAACAAATTATTCTCCTTTAAATTTAACGTATGTCATTTAATCATATTCTCAGAGAAAAAAGCAGATTCTAAATCGTGTCTTTCTAACTCAAACACATGAATCTAAAATGGGAGTGGGTGAGACAGACGTATGGATGTACTTAGTACTGAAAACCTTACCTATGCTCCCACCCCTCCTCAATTCTTGACCCCTGCCACTGTGCTCTCTGGAAATCAGGGTCCATTTTCAGCATAATGCTTTCTACCCTCCATCTGTCTTCCGAATGTTTTCTCTACCCTCTGACTAAAAGGCTGACTCTCCCCCTGAGAACCTAGCTTTGCTGAAACTCCCTAAGTGGCCATCTTACCTTACACAGTCCTTGTCCTTCTGGGCCAGGAGGGGAAGGAGGCTAGATCTCCTCGTTGCTGCTTTGAGCATTTTGCCTATTTCCCTTCCCTTCTCCCTGAAAACCCATTTTGTACTTTCCTCAAGAGATTACATCATACTCTACCTTTCATCGTTGCTGTCATCTATCCCCTCCTGGGTCGCCCCGTTTCTTTTCTCGATCATTTCAGCTCCAATACTATTCTTGCTTTAATTCTTGCTGAATTCAATATACAGATGGATGATCATATTAATACTCTGGTCCCTCTGTTCTTTGAACTTTTTAAACAGTCTTGTCTTCTACTTAAGTCAATTATTCCCATGGTCATACCCTCCAACCTTTCTCAAAGAGGGCTCCTCATTTGATCCACAGGATACGGTAAATAATTTGAGTGAATATTTTCTAAAATCTCTCCAGGATAGTACATAACTAATATCATTCTAGATTCAAAGGAGTGAAGTTAATTCATTATGTATTTTAGATACTTATGGCATTAAATCTTAATTCTCTCAGGGAATCCCGGTTGAGAGGTCCTGCACCAAAGATTGCAATGCTGCATAATAATCATTTGAGGATTCTATCTCTGACAACCTCCTATCTTTCCAGTTTCTTCTCACTAGTAGCCCATCCCCCTGTCTCGATCTCCTTAATGACAGCTGTGAAGTCTTTTTGTATAGAGGTGACACATTCACAGGTTCTGATAATTAGGAGGTAAGCATCTTGGGGGCCATTATTTTCTTTACAACATGGCCCAATTTCAACAATCATTATCAAGATTATAGATGGTGTTATGTTCTTTCATCTTGAGGCATAAAATGTCTATTTGTCCCTCTTTTGATGATGTTTAATGCCTAGTAATGAACCCACTAATTCGTTCAAGTTTGCAAAATAATGCTTTTCAAATTTTTCACTTCATATTAATGGTTGAACTAATCTATAAAGAGATACGTCTCTTCATCTACTATCTTGTTACCCATTAGTAGAGTACGTACAGGAAAGGGAAGATAAATGCTTGATACTGTCCTTTTATTTACCAGTTTTCAAGAAAATGAACTTATTCCCTATCATTCTCTGAAGGTGATCATTTTTTTCGGTATCATTGTGAACTCATGTCTTGAAACATATTTGACAGGTTCAGTCCATTCCAACTATTGTGTTTTTTGAAGCACAGCTTGTTCCCTCTTTGTCCAGTGTAAGCCTATTCAAGTTAGCTCCTGGATCCAATCCAGGATAGCACATTGCATTTGGTTGTCACGTTTTCTCAGTCTTCTCTGGCCTACAACAGTTTCACAGCCTTTCCTTACTTTTCATGTCCTTTACAGTTATGTGAGTTCTGGTCAGATACTTTATAGAATATTCCTCGATTTCTCATCATTAGGTTGGTTTTTTTATCTTGGAAAAAAATACCACAGAGGTGAAACGCCCCTCTCATCACGTCATTTCTTGGGATAGGTGATATCAACACGACATTAGTGGTCATGTTCACCTTGATCACTGGGTTAAGGTCTATACATTTTTGTTCAATTATTAACTGAAAGTATTTTCCTTCCACTCTCCTTCACACAGCTCCAAACGACATGCACTTAGTTTCTTTGATCTCTTTTAAGACATTAGGGACTGCAACTTTCTTCCTAAGGGCCCAGACATATGTGTTTTAAATATTCAGAATTTTAACCCTCTAACTAGAAAAAAATAGGCACCTCCATGCGTGATATGGTGTAACGATTTGAGGGATATACCAAATGCCATTCCAGGAAGGCTTGGCTTTTTGATATCCTTCAATTCATAGTAATAACATTCATATGGTGAGTTTTCAGAGACTACATAGTGTAAAATTGAGATTGTACTAAAAAGTTTAAAGGGGATCATAGATTCACCACAGAACTTGCTTAACTGACGTCTGTCAAGATTTGGTTTGATCCTAGTGAAACCCCAGCTCCCAATGCATCTCTCCCCAAAGGCTATTTCAGTGACAGCAGAAAACTGAGGATCTTACACTCTCCTGACCCATCAGATCCAATTTGGGCATACATGATTTACTGCTAGCAACATCTTTTTTCCTGCTTTAACATAAAGAGCAAATGGGACATTTCACATACATTACTGCAATTAGTTCATCAACTTGAACACATTAGAAAGTGGAAAGGTAATGTTAGTCACGTGTCTCCACCCACATTACAATATAAAGCAACAACTTTGCTAGTCCAGTGGAAAATCAGACACTGTTTGGGGTGACAATGTTTGCATTAAGCCTGCTTGTTTTTGTGAGTTTAAAATGGTAATCTATAATAACAGACCACACATTTTTGAGGAACTCCAAAGACTATTGGATACTTTTCTTTTACACTTGCTGCCTCCTTTTATCCCCACATATTCCCTGTGAGGCATGGTTCTTATGCCTATTTACAAATGAGGAAGTGGAGGCTCAGAAAACTTAAGAATGGTACCCAAGGTCACGTATCTTGCAAGTGATGCCCGTACAGGTTCATTAAATCACTCTTTCTTCCCATCTAAGACTGATGCTGTGTTTTTGCTTTCATAAATATGATTTATTCCCCCAATGGAAAAAAATCTAAACTCACCAGTTATGAGAGAAGGATATCTAAATTAAGGGAAAATCTGAATAAGAGATTGTATAGTAATAATTATCTACTATTTATTTAGCACTGGCTATGTGCTAGAGTCTATAGTTAATTCTTAAACCACCCTATAAATTCTTTCCTTTTTAATGAGAAAAAATTGAAGTTCACGTGGATGAGTTAATGTAAATGATGCTAACTCTTGTAGCACATAAATCCCAATCTCAGTGGTTTAAGATAATAAAAGTTATTTCTTGCCCCTGCAGGGTCCAATACAAATGTTCCTGGCTGGTGAATAGCCTTCCGTGTGGTCAGTCAGGGCCCGGGCTCTGCCACCCTTTAGGGACCTGCAGTCTTCTCCGGAATGCTCTGTGTGTTCCTGTTAGAAATACTGTTTATACAATTAATATAGGCTTTATAGGGTAACACCAAATTAGATTTCAGTCTTGTTCCTTCTGTGTTATATCAATTTCAGATTGATGTTCAAATTAATGCAAGCTTCCTGGGCACAGGAAGTTTTAATGCACTGGAACTGGAAGTGGCCTATATTTCTTTTGTTCATAGTGCATTTGCCAGAGCTCAGTCACATGGACACTCCTGCCTGCTAGAGAGGCTGGGAGACATAATCGAAGTGCATGCTCAGTAGGTAGGCGAAATGGGTTTTGGTGAACACATAGCAGTCTTCCACCCTTAGCAACTTGCTCAAAGTCATATAGGTAATACTTGGCGGAACCAAAACTTGAATCTGTTCTGATCCAAAGCTTATACTCTTTTCACTACATTATACTCCTTTCAGATATTTTTTAAAAGAAATTTAGTTTTATTATTTTCAAGAATAACTCAAATTTTCTGTGGCAATATCAACTATGGATATAAATAATATCACTTTAATTATAACAAGCCATATTGGGCTGAATCCTTAAACCTCACTCCTCAGTACTGCCAAGTACCTTCTCTAGTCCCCACGTTGTCCCTTGTCCATGATTATATCTGGGACTCCCAAATGTCTGAGTCCCATGTGCTCATGAACATGTCCTGACTGTCACTGAATGGCAGCCACCTTGTTCTTCCCTCCAGAATCAACAGTGCTGTAAAATCACCAGTGCTTCATAAAGGAAGACTTTTCTCCTTACCCTTCCCTCCATTTTGTCACCTAATGAGTCATCTAATGACACAAGAGCCCAATGACATACACTCACTACTGAAAATACCTCCTTCAGGTTCTGTCTATCATCCTTCTCTCCTCAGTCTTCAGATAGTATCCATGAGCCTGCCAGAGAAGCAGATTCTAAAGACACATGACTCTACCCTCCCCATCACCCACTGCTCCAGTGTGGATCCCTTCCAAATAAGAGCTCTAAACTTCAACCCAGGTAAATGAACACAGGTAAATGAGGGTCAGTTCTCCCCATCAGCCCAGTTCACATGCCCACAGTTCCCAGTCCAAGCAGTGGACCTAGCTTAGCGTTAAGCTGTGTTTCTATGATATTGTGATTTATCATAAGAAATTGTGCATTTGGTTTTTATCTTGTTTCTGGGACAGAGCTCCTAAAACCCTTGGAATTTCCTGTGATAAGAGTGGTAAAGTTGTCTTTTGTTATATTAATGAGGTGACTTTTGGAAAGCCCCTAGCTATCCTTAGGATGGGGGCTGATTGCTAGGGGACCCAACCATGTGATTAGAGGGTTGGAACTTTCAGTACCACCGCTATTCTCCTCCCCCTCCCCCAGACCTCCTGGGAGGAGAGAGGGGCTGAAGAGATTGAATCAATCACTAATGGTCAACGAATTAATTAATCATGACTATGTAATGAAACCTCCATAAAACCCCGAAAAGATAGGGAACAAAGAGATTCCTGGATGGTGAATACATGGAAATTTGGGGAGAGTGGCATGCTCCGAGAGGGCATGGACGCTTTCTTCATAGCTTGCCCTACGCATCTCTTCCATCTGGCTGTTCCTGAGTTATATCCTTTTATAATAAACCCGTAATCTAGTAAGTAAAATATTTCTCTTAGTTCTGTGAACCACTCTAGCAAATGAATTGAACCCAAGGAGGGGGTCCTTGGAACCTCCCATCTATAGCCAGCCATTCATAAGCACAGGTGACAACCCAGACTTGCAATTGGCAGAGAACTGTTTGGTGGTAGGGGGAAAATCCTACATGCTGGAATTGGGTGCAGAGCCCTTTGTTACCCACTGCTTAAGGACGCATAGTACTAGAACACAGATAACCAAAGGCTTTTAGTGAACATTCTTAGGAGACTTGTTTCGATAAACTAGCAGGAATAGCTTGTTTGAAACAAAGAATGCTTTTTAATTGGCATATCAGTCATTTGAAATTGGAATCTTGAAGTTACTTAAAGCTATTTTCCTCTCATAAGCATTTTACACATTCTCCTTGAAATGCTGTTTACACAATTAACGACGTTTTTATAGGTAATCCAAAAATAGGTTTCATTGTGGCTCCTCCTGAGTTACATCAATTTCCAGATTGATGTTCAAATTAATGCAAATTTCCCAGGTACCCTACATTTCAATTTTCATATATATGAACACTGAAGTGTACACACTCTCACATAAAAATACTCACCAGGAGTCAGGAGGCACTGCAACGTGGTGGGAGATCCCCACAGACTCACTGTCTATGCCTATACACACTAAATGAATAGACCTTCAACTGGCTAATCCATTAATTCCAGCCATTTAATAATCAATGAAGATTACTGAATGAGTGATCTAGGATGGTGATCAATATTCATAATGAAGATAGCTGAAATGGACACCAGCCAATTATCAATGTGGCCTAAGTCAGAGAGAATGTACTGAAAGCCCAGAGCAAGCCCAGTCCTGGGAAGAGAGTGTGAGGTAACATTTCTGCCTTCCAGAAGACCATCGTGGAGTCGCCCCGAAACGTGATGTATTCTGCTCTGCCAGGACTCAACCTGGACCTCTTCTTTTTAATTCTGGGTCTTTTTATCCACCACTTCCCTTTCAGTAAAATGTTCTTGCCTCAACATCTTAGGGCCCAAATCTGATTTCCAAGTTTCCTGATCTATTGACATATTTTTGGACTCCCTTGAGTACTGTTTTCATTGATTGGTTCATATCTATCTTGCCTTAATTCAAAAAGGATTTGATGTTTGCTGATATGCATCTCGTTTAGCAGGCAAAGTCGCAAACCGAAGGAGTGGGAATTTGCAGCATCCCGGTGATGGGGAGATGATACATTTGGATAGGTGGTCTCTATTGCTTTAGCCAAATCACCACATTGTAGGTCCCATCCATCAGTGAAATTCAGATAGAGATCGGGCTCTGGTCCAAAGTTTATAGGGTTCCCCTCCTTCCAATCTGAGAAAACTAGACCTAGTGATACTTAGATCTACATTCTGGGGAGATTACAGGGAATACCTGGAGACCTGCTGAATTTCTTGGAAGTGGAGAACTAGCCAAGAACCGTGAATGTCTCACCATGACCCTGAGGGAGGGCCACAGTGGGTCTTGTCCTAACAGCCATCTCTACAGAAAATTAATGATTTTTCTTAATAAAAGGTTAAGCATTCAGGAGTGCCAGGGCCCCTGGATTAAACCCCAACTCCAGCTGACATGGTAATTACAAAAAGGCCAGATAATTGGGAAATAAAGGGAACCTGAGTGTTTGTTCCTCCTTTTTTTCATAGAGCAAGCAGGGTTTTGTCCCTCACTTCTGAAACAATCATGTTCTGATTGGCCTTGGCGTCTTTAGCAGAGCTTGGAAATCAAAGTGGGTAAGAGGTAGGATTTCTAGCAGGAGAGTTGGGTTTGGAAAGGTTCAGGAAGAAGGCTCAGGAGGTTTGCCTCGTGGAAAGAAAGCATGACTCTGGCAAATGCAACTGGTTAACTTCCCCAGCAACCTGGAAGGCGGGGGCTCGCCCTGGATGCTCCTGTCTTGTGCCTTCAGGGGCTCTCCCTCTTATCCTCACTGGCTTCAGAGTAGCGCTCCTGGTGGAGAAGAGTCCTGACAAGAGGCCACTTGGGTTTTTCTGGCTCTCATAACAGAAGAGGCTCTACAGTCAAATATGTTTTTAAACTAGTTGCCATGGAAATATCTTTTAAAGATAGCTAATACCACCGGGGAAATCTAACTGGCAGTGATAGCAAATCAGGCTTTGATTTAACCTCCCAATACAGTCTGTCGAGCAATTTCAGAACAAGCGTACGCGTAACATTGAGGTTTCACAGCTCTTTGCCTGGTTTGCTTGCGAGCGTGGAGAAAGCACTCTGCGAGGAGCTTCCGTCAATCGCTGATTATTCAGGATGTGATTATGAAGCTGGAGGGTTTTCAGTGCCCTTGCTTCGCCTCCTCCTCTTCCTGTGCGCTGTGCTTTAGCCATTTCATCGCCTATTAGAGCTTCCACCAGAGAGTGGAGAGGATATAAAATTCCAATCAGCCTGTTAGCAGTTTTCATAAGAGATCTGCTGAGGGGAGAAGCTAAAACCATTGGCTGAAATGAGGTTTGCAGATTATCTATGGATTTCATTTATGATTTCTGTGTGAGTAATCTGATTGTGGCGTTGGCTGCATGTGGCTTAGTTGGAAACAGAAGCTTTGTTGAAAACAGCCTTATAAATGTGCACATAGGTTTCTCTCTACACTGTAATAAGTGAATAAATGTCTGGAAAACTTGATTTTTAAAAATAGATGTGCATAGAAAGATCATTCGGACCTTGGATTTTTATTGTGACATAAATCATCAATTTGACCATCCAGATTGTTCAAATTTACCTAACAATTGACAAATTCTTAGCAAAACCATCCATACATAGATTTAACAAACAAACAGGAAACTAGAATGAGAAACTTCTGAGCTTCCACTGAGGCTCTGACAATAGATATATATTGTCACATATATATATGTTATAATATATATGTAATATATATATGTATACACACGCACACATATATGGATGGCAGGGCTTTTTTATTACTTTGAGTAACGTTTCTCAAAAGTGAAATGCAGATTGTGTTTACCATAGTATTGTACAATGCAAAACGAGTTAACACCTACAGATTACTTGAAAATGAGCGTCTTCCTTTCGGTGCTCCTGTTACCATCTCTCCCTCTCCGCAGAGGGTGATCATTGCTAACGTTTCTGGAGACATAGACACCTATACACACCGAGCTTTGTAACCTCTGATGATCCATTTTTCCAATGGGAATGATTCTTGTTCTTTTCTTTTCTGGGAAGAATACAAATTAGGGACCTCCGGGGAGATTTTTTTACTTCAATTAAGAATCACCTGAGTCAGATATTTTCAGCTGTTCCATTACAGAAGCTTTTTAAAAAATTTGAATAATATATTTTATTGAACTCAGTGTATCCAAAATATTTTAACATATACTCAATATTAAAAATTATTGCTGTGATATTTTATATCCTTTTATCCTTACTAAGTCTTTAAAATTCAATGTGTATTTTATACTTGGAGCACATCTCAGCTGGCGCATCGGATTTTTTTTGAGAATGTCTTGATCTGTATTTAGATTTTACAACAGTTACAGTTGAAAGAGGAAGGGATCATATCCAAGTTGTTCCAAACCTACTTAAAATTTTTCCAATAACTCATTCAAGTTTAAGTTTTTAAATTCAAATTTAAATAAATTAAAATGAAGTAGAATTTAAAATTCAATTCTTCAGTCTCCCTAGCCACATTTTAAGCGCTCAAAAGCCATAGGTGGCTAGTCATACCTCTTGGACAACACAGCCTTATACTGTCCTTTATGAGCAATTTAAAAGGCTTTTTAAAAGTAGGAGGATGCAAAACCTTTACGGATACAGTTTCAGATTCTGCATTGTAACTGACCTTTAAGAAACCACTTGCCGAGCTTCAGTTCAGTGGACGGAAGGAGAGCCACGGTTAGCTGGAGACTAAGTACTCCTCCCCTTTCTAACCACATGCCTGTGTGAGGCACGGTTTTCTTTTACTTTTCAATTTTTTTATCGTGGCAAAGTACACATGACATAAAACTTCCCATCTCAACCATTTTGGAGGGTACAGATCAGTGGTATTAAAAGTGGTATTTAAAGTTGGTGCTCACCCAGCTTCCGACTGCCAGGGGCCACTGAAGGGTGGAGGAGGCCTTGGTTGCTTTGTTGCTTGGTACAGCAACTTCTTTTCATTTCCTGCTCTGGAGAAACCCTCCTCTCCCGACAACATACAGGCTCCCACGCTGTTTGAGCAAACACACAGCTCCAGCAGGGAGTGGCTCTGTTTATTGAGCTTCTCAAAGAAAGCCGTTCTATCAAATCTGTTTAGAGGGAAGATGGAACTCCTAAAAGTGTTCTTGTGCATCCCTTCATTTCAAATACCCTAGATAGATGATGGTTTATCA